TTATTTTCACCAGTCCCACTGTCCACTGAGTTTCTATGACAAGGCAGGGATTTGAACCCAGGTCTCTTGAGTACTAGTCTGTCACTCAATCCCTACTCCACACTGGCTCTCCAAATAATGCTGAAAGAATGTATTTTATATTGTCTGTGTGCTTGTTTATTTTAACCTGACTGGAGCTGAATATACTGAAAATCCTGTTCCTCAGTTGTGTTCTCTGGTCAAGGATCAAAAGGCATACTAGTTCCCCACTTTCGCTTTCCTGAACAGCCTTGGCTAAGGACAATAGGTACATGAGTTAAATTCAGCAGAGCAGAAGCTGCAGGCCCTACTCAGGAGCTGTGGGACATGTAGGTGGATCAGGTTGGCATTTTTTGTCTTTGTGTGTGTTGTTGTTTTTTTCCTAGCTCTGTGCAAAGTGAGAGGTTAGCTTGTTTAGTATTCTTTGGATAATTTTTCAGAAGCATAAAACTATCTGTTCTTGGACAGTGACTGGAAAATATCAGCTAGGTTTGGAGACTGTACCCTCCTCTACTATACTGTAATGTGTTTCTATCGCATGTTGCCCTTACATGTCCAACTTAACTCATCTGAACTCTTGTGACATTGCCCCTCCTCATCCGTATTTCTGCAAATGAGAAAAACAGAACTCTGGAGGCATAATTCAGGGGCATTTGGAAGATTACTTGTGGGCTGTATATTGTCAGCATGGCTATGTTCAGATGTAATGCTTAAAGGGTGACTTATTGTTACAGGGACAAAGAGCCAAGCCCTCTGCTTCTTCTTTCACTGCTGTTGTGAGGGAAGGATTATCTCAGTTTCTCCTGTTTTTAGCTAACCTTTCGCCACTGTTTTTAAATAACCATAGCTGGGCATTATATACAAACCCAGATAAAACTATGGTTAGCCTTCACTGTGGTTCACTATGCTTTACTGAACAAGCCACAGCTTGTGAAATTGCCTTTCCCCCCCAGTAATTAACATTAACTGCTCAACACCTAGCTGTTCAGTGAACACTGGAGTAACAAGGTCCAATCTCCTCCTTGAAAATGTGCCATAAAAGCAGGGTGGGGTTAGGGAATACATGGGACCGAGACTCACTCACACAATATTGTGATATGGTTTAATGTTAAAAAACAGGACTGTATATGGATGTGATCAAATGATGAAGACTACTGTGAAGACAATGAATGGTAGTCAAATGCACAGGGTCAGTTAAATCACTGTGTATACTAACAAAGGAAAGAAAAATCGGTGTGTATATCACAACAGGAGCATCTCTCAGCTCCCAGCAATTGCAAATCTGATTGCTTTGCCTTGTGATTGGTCTTCAGGACTTAAAATCAGGATTTCTTTAAGCATGATTTTTCAAATATGAATACTGTCTCAGTTACATGTGGAATTGTTCTGGCATAATGAGGCTGGCTGACATCACTGAGTGGTAGGTACATGAGGTTGAATAATTGTAAATATATTATTAAATAGACTTCTCATCATCCTCCTCCAGGAAATAAATGCACACATAAGCTCTATGAGGGGAAGCCAGAGGGAATTTTATAGCTGCTGGGCTTCTATGGCCTTCTGATGGATAACAGGCTTGCCTGGACCTCTCAACAGCTTTTTGTATCACCAGCCTTGGTAAACCTCTAGGGAACTCACAGAATGAGAAGGAGGCAGTATTTTATACATCTTCTCCTCTAATTGGAGAGCTGCTTCCGAAAATGGCACTGGAGGACAGCTTTTTCTACCATATGGAGACTCCACTTAGGCATCCCTAAAGTTATATTTCATCCTCTTTATTTTTTAACATTTATGTGAAACATCTGGAAGCAGTTACCCAGAGAAATGGTGGAGGGTGTCATCAGTATATGAATGAAACTCATCTCTCCCTACCACCAAAATAAAGTGCCCTCAAAATGATGTGTCTGGCTGAAAGTATCTGAAATTAAAAGACCTGCACAAAGACATATGAGTCAGTGAGAGAAAGCATGAATTAGATTAAATGTACGAATAAATGCACACATCTGGGGGAAATGCATTTTTAAAACCTGTATGAATTTCAAAGCAAGAAGAAAAAGCAAAGTCTTGTATCACATTATATAAAAAAAACAAAATCGGAAAGAAAACAAGTATTTGGAGAAATGCAACAAAATCAACATAAGAGAGATATTTTCTGCCTCAGAAGCGACAAGTCCAAGTCTCATGGATTGCTCTTGAAGTTCCTGTGAGATCTTTAAAAAATTCAAACTTATGTTCAAACTATCAAAGTAGAAATCCTAGTCCCGAAAAATAAAATTCCTATTTGTTGAAGCCTGGTCTGTCGGATTAAAAAACAGAATCGGTGCTCTGTAGCAATAAAACATGTGCCAATGACTATATGGACTTTGCAGGGATGTGGTGGTGCTCCGGGTTAAACTGCAGAAGCCTCTGTCCTACAAGGTCAGAAGACCAGCAGTCATAAGATCAAATCCATGCAACAGAGTGAGCTCCCGTCGCCTGTCCCAGCTCCTGCCAACCTAGCAGTTCGAAAGCATGTAAAAATGCAAGTAGATAAATAGGTACCACCTCAGCAGGAAGGTAATGGCATTCCGTGTCTAGTCGCACTGGCTGCGTGGCCACAGAAACTGTCTTCAGACAAACGCTGGCTCTATGGCTTGGAAACAGGGATGAGCGCTGCGCCCTCGAGTCGGACACATCTGGACTAAATGTCAAGGGGAACTTTTACCTTTACCTATATGGATATACAAAGCTTTCTTATATTCACGATGCTGTTATTAGACCATTCAGGAATGTATGTACTCATACACAATGGCTTTACAAAGCCTAATTTAGAAGCTTTTCTCACTCATTTTAAGCCGAGATTCTTTTAACTGTAAATGCCAGAAGCTGAGCTATCTTTCCTCATCC